GTTTAAACATGCCGTTGAAGGATGTTCAGATAGCATTCTACCTAGCATAAATAGTCAAATATGTAGAGAAGGGGTTCATGGAGCCTTGAGGGGTCTTGTGTACGTGGATGGGGGGAAAAAATCAGATCTATTTTTACTTTTAATTGAAATTTAGCATTTCTTCAATTTTGAATTTTTAAAATAAATAAAGTTCCACAGGCTTCACTAAACTGTCAAAGGTCAAGAACCACAGATTTAGAGAATGTAGTTTAAATGACTTAATTTTTCTTCAGTCATCTGAGTATATTGTATGTCTTCAAGACAGATGCATTAAGTCTGTACTTTGCTATGTTCCTCTGCAAAATGAAGGCAATAAAAACTTTCAAAATAATTCTTAAATTATACATCATTTATAAAATTATTTTTCTTTATGTTGTTGCTAGTGTTGACCTGACAAATGAACCAACAATTAATGTCACCAATACTGGTGTCAATATAGAGAATCATGTCCAGAAAGAAGATGACAGTACATTTTCTTTAATTACATGGAATATTGATGGATTGGATATACACAGTTTGCAAGATCGGGCTAAAAGCGTGTGTGAATATTTGGCTTTGTAAGTATTATTATTTACTTTTAATTATAGCAGTCCTATGCATTTGCTTAACAACTTAATATTTCAAAGTATTTTCACATCTGTTTTCTCATAACAGGTAGTTAGGGCATGTATAATTATCCCCATTTTACAGATAAAAATTGAGACCTCTTACAGAGGTTAAGTACATGAATGTCTAAGGTCACAAAGTTAAGTTAGTAGAAGAGCCAGAACTGAAACTGAATTCTCAGAAGAACAGTCTTTCCACTAAAATACTTCACTTTCTGTATATATAGACCATGCTCAAATAATTAAATTCTATATTTTTAAGTACAAAGTGTAATTCTAGAAAAACCATAATGCTCATGAGAACATCTTTGCAAAGGAGTAAATGTCAAATGTTCTCATAAGTCAATATCAAAATATCATAGCTTGGGATACAAAATTTCCCGTGGAAAGAATGCTATATTCATTTAAAGAGTATTACATTTGGGCATATTTTTGAAGTTAGCATCTCTAGCTGGAATTAATATGGCAGTACCTCTTACGTTGCTTATTTGTTTATTGAATATATTATTAGGGAGTTTTAAAATCCTAACTTAATTTCAGCAAAAGTAATTGCAGGGTCATTTTTGAGAATACTAGACATGTAAAAAGGTGGAAGATTTGGAAGACAACTGTAGTTTTAAAGTTGCATTTTATTTATGTTAGATGGAAGGAAAGACCGAATTATTCTCTGCTGGTAACTTTTATTTCAAACTTTCATGTGTGGTGTTGCTATAACTTTTACCAATATTAGAAAAATTAATAACTGATGCTATAATTTCTGTCCATGAGTACCCTTCCCTTCAATAGCCAATAAATATCATGTAAATTGTTAACAAAATTGTGTTCATTTTTGGAATTCTGTTAAAGTGACAGCTTATGTTTTTCTCAGTTATAGAGTAATATGTTCTGGTCTCATTTCCTGGAGTTATGTTCTAGGGAAATGTTATATTTCTTATTAGTCTTATAACAAACTCATTTTTAAAAATTAGGTACACTCCAGATGTGGTATTTCTTCAAGAAGTGATTCCACCATACTACAACTATCTAAAGAAAAGAGCAACCAGTTACACAATTATTTCAGGTAACACCTTTCTGGTTATTTAGCTTACCTATTAAGAGAATGATTTTCAAAATATCTATCTCTTTAAAAACATCTTTCTCCCTCTTATTTGGAAAATTGTCTCTTTCCTTAGTTGAAATTTTTTTTTTAAAATGTATGAGGCAATTAGGGTTAAGTGACTTGCCCAGAGTCACGCAGCTAGTGAGTGTTATGTGTCTGAGGCCAGACTTGAACTCAGGGACTCCAGGGCTAGTGCTCTATCCACTGAGCCACCTAGCTGCCCTAAACTTTTTTTTTTTTTTTTCCAGCTAGGCAGTAGGGTTAAGTGACTTGCCCAGGGTCACACAGCTAGTAAGTGTCAGGCTGGATTTGAACTCAGGTCCTCCTGATTTCAGGGCCAGTGCTCTACCCACTGTGCCATCTAGCTACTCCTGTTGAAATATTTTAATCATTGATGTTAGCTGTGCAGTGACTGGGAAGAAAGTGAATGTTATCTGGTTCTTAGAATGGGATCATCAATGGCAAATTCTTTCTTAGGTAAATGACTTTAGTTTCTGGGGTGTCATTTTCAAATACTAACTTTAGAGACAACTTCATCTTTGAATTAAATTTATCTTTGAAAATAGATAATAGTTGCACTAACAGGCAGTGCTTTTCTTGAAAGAATCTGTGTGAGCATTTATAACTGTTCTTGGTACATTGTGTGATAAAGGACATAAGATGAAGATAGGTTGTGTTCAAAGTACTCGAAATCTGTTCTAGCCCTTAATTCTATCCTTTAGAAATGCTCAGATCAGAGGTTTCAGACACCAACACTCCCAAAGTGCAGCTGAACCAGATTAAATTGCAATTGGGAAACCTTTAACAAAATAAATTAAAATACAGTACAACATATATAACTTTTTTTAATTTAAAATTTTTATTTTCAGATCCAAATTTTCTCCCTTCTACCCACCCAACCATTAAAAAGACAAGAAATATGATACCCATTATGCATAATAACATTATATTTTAAAACTAAATTAGTATGTGGCCCTGTATGGATTAGTGGACCCCATTTCTATTTGAATTTGACACCACTGCTCTAAATGATCTATTCATGGAATGTAACTTTCTCTTTTAAAAAACATTTTAAGGTAATGAAGATGGCTATTTCACCGTAGTAATGTTGAAGAAGTCAAGAGTGAAGTTAATAAGCTATGAAATTACACCTTTTCCTACTACTCAGATGATGAGAAACCTTTTGTGTGTGCATGTAAGTGAACTTGTGAAGAAATTACCCTCATTTTTGTAATTCCATAGACCTGTGTTTTAATAAAAGTTTGCCTTTCTCTTTAAAATAGCTTCCTTTCAGTGTTCGTGAACTTTTCGAATGAACTTAGATGAATGCTATGTCAAAATAAACTTGCTTGAAGGCATATCTCTCCTGAGATAGAAGGATTTAATTTAAATCTGTGTTTGCTTCCTGAAATAATTATTACTAATTCCCTGAGTTAGTTGGTACCATGATATTAAGTGGTAAATTACCCTCAATTAACCAGCTAGTAATTGGAGAAGAAAATATCTGAGTGAGAGGGCAGTAGAGGGGGATAGATATTGGCAAGCATAGTTTTTATGGTTTTACTGAAGGCACTGGATGAAGTCAATTTGAATGGCACTTTCTTTAGGAAGTAAAGACCTCTCCTATTTGGACCTCACATAGCACCCCTCTCATTGTACACAGTGCACTGCACCTCATAGGTGCACCTGCAGTAGGATCAATGTTTGTTAAATCTGATCAGTGTTAAGATAAATTCATTGCTTGCAAGTACTTACCAGTAAGTGCTTAGGGAGATACACAAAATTTAGAAAAACCTTGGTTTCTATCCTCTTGGAGCTTACAGCCCTTTAGGGATGTGTGACCAAATATAAATGACTGTAATATATAGCAGTACATGCAAATATATAAGAAAGATGTGCTGTGTGAGTTCCGAGAGGGAAGTGCCTTTTGAGTTGGCTCCAGCCACTGACTCCCCACCCCGAGTCTTTTTTTCTCCAAGTACTGGCCCTTCTTACCAATGCAAATCCCTCTATGTGGACTCTGAATCCCGTCCCCTCCCATTTTCTTTAGCACATTGTCTCCTCTCTCATCCCTACTTTCTCGCTAATTTTCTGTCTCTCCCCATCTACTGGCTCCATCCTTGCTGCCTACCATGTATAGATATATATATATATATATATAAAATATACCCATGTTTCTCCAGTTCTTAAAGTATCCTCACTTGATCCAGCTGTCCCTCTTATCTGTTGTCCTATATCTCTCCTCCTCTTCTAGGCTAAACTGTTTGAGAAATCTGTCTGTAGTAGTTGTTTCCACTGTCTTTCCATTGACTCTCTTCTAAACAGTTTGTACTATGACTTCTGACCTCATCATTCAACTGAAACTGCTCTTTCTAAAGTTATCAGTGATCTTAGTTGCCAAATCTAATGACTTTTCTCTATCTTTTTAGTCCTTCTTTGTCCTTCTTGATGGGGCATCTAGGTGGCTGAATGAATAGAGGTCTGGGCGTGAAGTCAGGAAGACCTGCATTCAAATCTGAACCTCAGACACTAGCTGTGTGACTCAGAGCAGGTCCCTTAACCCTGTTTGCCTCAGTTTCCTCATCTGTATAATGAACTGGAGAAGGAAATGACAAACCACTCCAGTATCTTTGCTGAGAAAACCACCCTTACTACTTATCCTTCTTGACCTATTTGCTGTCTTTGATACTGTCACTCACCCTTTTCTCCTGGATGTTACTATTGTTGTTCAGTTGTTTCAGTCTTGCCTGACTCTTTGTGACCCCATTTGGAGTTTTCTTGGCAAAGATACTGGAGTGGTTTGCCATTTCCTTCTCCAGCTCATTTTACAGATGAGGAAACTGAGGATAACAGGGTTAAGTGACTTGCTCAGGGATACCCAGCTAGTCAGTATCTGAGGTCGGATTTGAACTCAGGTCTTCCAGGCTCCAGGCTTGGCACTCTATCTGCTGTGCCACCTAGCTGTCCTCTCTTTAAGTCTTCATGATATTGCTCTTTCCTGGTTCTCTTTGTTAATCTCTTTTTTTGCTGGATCTCCATCTGTAATGTGGCCACTAATTGTGGGTATCTCCCAAGGCTCTGTCCTAAGCCTTTTTCTCATTTCCCTCTATACTGTCTCACTTGGTAATTTCATTAGCTCTCATGGGTTCATCTCTATGCCCGTGATTCTCAGATCTATATATCCAGTCTGAACTTCTCTACTGAGCTACAGTCCTACATCATCAACTGCCTTTTGGACATCTCAGATTGGAAAATCTTTAGGTATCTCAAACCTAGCACGTCCAGAACAGAATGCAACATCTTTCTTTAAAAAAAAAATATTTCTTTCAGTTATTAAAAATTGGTTTTCTCTTCCTCCCACTCCTTCCATTGGGGGAAAAAAAGAAAAAAAATTCGTGTATAAATATATATATAGTCAAGCAAAACACATTTCACATCTCATTATATTACCAACCTTTCCCCTACGCCGTTCCCAGGTATTCTGTTACTAAGGGCACCACCATTCTCCCAGTCACCCTCGCTAACAACTTCAGTGTTATCCTTGACTCTTATACTCATCCCACATATCCAGTCTTGTCAAATCTTGTCCTTTCTACCTTCACAACATCTTCATCATATGTCCCTTTCTACTTATACAGACACCACCCTTATGGAGGCCGTCATCACCACATATGCTATTGCAGTAGTCTTCTAACTGGTCTCCCTGCCTCAAGTGCCTTCCTATCCAATCCCTCTTCTCCTCAGCTGCCAAAATGATTTTCCAGTGAACGTCTGACCATGTCACCCCTTTACTCAATAAACTTCAGTGGCTCCCTCTTACCTCCAGAATCAATGTAAAATACTCTGACATTTAAAGCCCTTCAAAATCTTGCTGCTTCCTCCTTTTCCAATCATAATACTTTTCTCCCTTCTACATATTCTCTGTTCCTGCTCCATTGGCTTACTGGCTGATCCTTGAAAATCACACGGCCTGAAATACTCTTCTTTGATGCCTCCTATTCCTAGCTTCCCTGCTTTCCTTCAAGATTTAGATAAAATCCCAATTCTTCGACTTTTACTGTTCACATTATTGTTAACTTTCTCTCTCCCCCACCCCCCATCCTGCCTTTCTTTGTAATTAACAAATGCTTATTGACTTGACTGTATGAGTACAAAATGTGGTTGTTTTGGGAGGAAGGGCTACAGGGGCAGTGTAAGAGTTCATTTTTCATGGAAAAAGATCTGAAATGTGAGGAAAGATCTGACGGTTTTAGTGGTGTCCGCACTCATTATGATTATGACATGGTAACCAAAAATATCAACATGACCTTGAGCTGCATTAAAGGAGCCATAATGCCAGAATAAGAGGGTTAATAGTTCTGTACTCTGTCTTGGTCAGATCATACCTGGAGTTTAGGTCTGGCTGCCACATTTTAGGAAGAATACTAGTATGTTTGGAGGCATGTACAGAAGAAGGCATCTAGTGTTGTGAGAGACTTGGAGGTAATGCCACATGAAAAGGAGCTGGTATTGTTGAGTGAGTCATAGAGAAGAGAAGACAAGTTGGGGATATGAGAGCTTTCTTCTTGGTCCCAGAGAACAGAATTAAGAGATTTAGGCTAAATAGAAGGGAACCTTTCTAACAATTAACTCTGTCTAAAAGTGGAATGGATGGCCTTGGGAGATTGTGGGTTCTTCCTCAATGGATTTCTCCATTTGGAGGCTAGCTGATTTCTTGTCAAAGGTATTATTAGATAGCCAATTCCTAGATTTGTAATTTTTCAAGTTTGGCTTTAAAAGATAAAGGGTTAGAATTCATTTAGCTACTTATCATTCCATTTCTTACCTCTCCTCTCCTTTTCACAGTCAGACTTCTTGAGAAAGTTGTTCACTTAGCTTTCTTACTACTCTCTCTGCTCACTCCCTCTTATCATATGACTTCTGGGGCAGCTAGGTTGTGCAGTTAATAGAGCACTGGCCCTGGAGTCAGGAGGACCTGAGTTCAGATCCGGCCTCAGACACATGATATTCACTAGCTGTGTGACCCTGGGCAAGTCACTTAACCCTGATTGCCTTGCAAAAAGCAAAGAACAAACAAACAAAAAACCAAGAACATATCATGTAACTTCTAATCCCACCCCAGCCCCATTCTGTTATAATCACTGTCCTTTTTTATACCCTATTATTTTCATGTCTCCTTACCTGTGCTGATGCTGTTCCTTATTTGTTGATAGTAATACTGATTTGACGATTTATGAACTTTTGAGTAATCCTCAGACCTTCTCTGATTAAAGTTTAGCATTGGATATTAAAATAGGCAGACTACAACTTAACTCAGGGGTACTATTCTGTTGCAGGTGACTGTATGTGGTAATGAGCTTTGCCTTTTGAACTCACACTTCGAGAGCACCAGAAACCATGCTCGGGAACGGATGAATCAGCTAAAAATGGTGTTAAAGAAAATGCAAGAAGTCCCAGAGTCAGTTACAGTTATATTTGGAGGAGATACAAATTTAAGGGACCATGAAGTGAGTTACAGTGTATCATTTCAGTGTTTCATGTAGTAAACTGGTTGATTTGTTTTTCTTTTCTCTCTTATGTGGCCACAGGATTTCAGAGTAAGGAACCTTGGTGGTTTCCTAGTTCAGCCTATAACTTAAAAATAATCACCTCTGCAGCTTACTTTACAAGTGGTCATCCAGACTTGACTTGAAGAACTCCAATGAAGGGCTTCTTCCCAAGATGGCCCATTCTACTTTGAACTACTTTTCAGTTGTTAGGAAACTTTTCTTATGTGAATCAATCAGCAAGTATTTATTAAGGCTCTTCTGTGGGCCAGGGACTCTGCTAAGACTGGGGATACCCATAAAAAACAGAGGCAAGTCAGTCCTTGCCCTGAAAAAGCTTACCTTTTACTTCAGAAGACCCTTGTTGCTTCTTTGCAACAAAAAATGGATAATGTGACCCATTCTATTAAGCCCAGGTCTTTAATTGACCTGTTATATGCACAAACCATAATGTATATCATCCTAATTCTGCAATTATTTACTGAGTGTCTGCTATGTTGCAAGTACTCTTTTAGGTAGAATGGGGTATATAAGTGTAAGACGTGATCATTGACCATAAAGATCTTACAATCTTATTAGAGAAACAAAACATGAGCTAGGTAATGATCTGAGAGTTTATGATTAAGTACTAAGAGAAGTCATGCAGATAATATCTGCTGTAGGAGTTCAGAGCAGGGAACAGTCAGTGTGGACTTGAGTAGTCAAGGAAATCTTGGAATGGCAGTATATCCTAGTGGACAGAATGTTATTTGTGGTATCAGAAAGACCTGGCTACCAGTGCTTTCTCAGACATGAGGTGTTTGACCACTGAACTTCTGGGACACTAGACTCAGTGACCACTAAGGTCCCTTCTAGCTCTGAATCCAAGGTCCTATGATTTGAGGTGGTAATACTTGATCTGGGCCTTAAAAGGATGGGTAAGAGCTGGTGAGCAGAGAATATGAGAGGGGAAGGAAGGAGACAAACATTTATTAAATGCTTACTATGTGCCAGGCATTAAATGCCCAGTACTTTACAAAAATTATGTCATTTGATCCTCACATCTTGGGAGATAGATGTTGTTATTATCATCCTCACTTTATAGTTGAGGAAACTGAGGCAGACAGGTTCTTGTGACTTGCTTACTTGCTCCAGGATCATTCAGTAAGTGCCTGAGGCTGGATTTGAACTCATATCTTGACTTCAGGCCCAGTGCTCTATCCACTCTGCTACCTTAGCTTCCAAGGAGCTGTATAAGCCAAGAGCTGTAGGTAGTAGATATGTTTGGGAAAGAATGAAAAACCTGCCCTGCTTGAAGCCAAATTGCTGTGGTGGAAGTGAGAGAAAGTTAGAATAGGTACAGTTAAGCTGGTCATGGCCTCTAAGTCTGAGGACTCAGACCCTTGAGTTTACTGTATGTAATGAAAGTTTTATGTTCCATTGGAAATATGTTGGGAGTTCCAGCCAATAGGGCCTAAAACTGAAACTGCTATTTCTCTCAGGCTTTCCCAATATTATGGCTAATCCTTTAAGAGTTGCCTGAGAAGCATCCAAGTAGGCACTATGTAAGTGAGAAGGATGTGCAACAGGAAGGTCTGTTTTAAATATATAAACTCCCTAGAGGATAGGACTCTGTCTTTTGTTTCTGGTTTTTTTTGTGCCTTTTGTGTATTCTGTGCCATGCTTGGCATAGGATGGAGACCCCATAAATTGTATAGTGTTAGACTTGGCTTTCCTTTTTACTTCCTGCTCTGTAGTTTATATCACAGTGAAATTGAACTGAAATGGAGGTATTGATTCACTTCTGCTTTGCTACAAAAGGGTGTTCTGGGTAAATTAAACCTCCCATTCTGTGCTCAGATGCGTCTCCAAATAAAACCATTTTCTTCTCCGATCCCAGTGACATTATACCTTAGTTTACATATCTAAAATTATTTAAGATCACAATTTTTCTGGGACTCCTGACAGTCCTTGGATATAATATAGCATGTAATAGTGTGATGGCATGTGTACTGGACTTAGAGTTGGGTGAGACCTGGATTCAAATTCATACCCCAGCTAGACTAGTGGTGTGGCCTTGCACAGGTCACTTGACCTCTTTAAACTTGTTTCCTTATCTATAAAATGGGGATATTAATTAGGGCTGTCCTGAGGAAAGTGAATTGTAAACAAAGTGTTCAGTCTCTGTCTAAATGTAGGTTTTCATTAGAGCAGTCCTTTTTTTTTTTTTTGGTTAGACAATGGGGTTAAGTGACATGCTCAGGGTCACACAGCTAGTAAGTGTTATGTATACGTGTCTGAAGCGGATTTAAACTCAGGTCCTACTGAATATAGGGCCTGTGCTCTATCCACTGCGCCACCTAGCTGCCCCTGAGCAGTTCTCTTTATTGATGCTCAGATGAATTGTGCTGCTTTTCCTAGTTTCCT